ATCATTCAATCTCTTTTAATGAAATATAATTAATAAGTCTTAAAATAAATATTTCTATTTTTTCTCACAAAATAATCAGTGTTTTTAAAAAAAAATTTCCAAAATCCCCAAATTCAAATATTTTTGTAAAAATTGATGTAAAAGCTATCAAACTAGGTATAGGATCATTTTGAAGTTTAATAAATTTAGAGTCAAATGGGCCAAGATATAACCAATTTAATAATGTAATTATGAAAATATAGTTCTTTAAAGATAGTGATTTTTTTGTGAAAATAGCGATTTTTTAAATCTTAACGCCAATTGAAGAAATTTTTTTTGCGATTTCACAGTTCTACATTATGAAGTACAAATTCTACTAATTGATGCAATTTATTTTAAATGTTGAGATATCAAATAATAATAATAATAAAGATTTTCTTTCAGTATATTTATAGTTTTGTAAATATTTAATAAATTTAAAATTAACGGAATAAATAGAGGTATAAATAAAAACACAAAGAAATTATATTCATCTTTTTTAATAAACTTTATACTAAACAATAGCGTGTTAGTTCTTTTAGACTCTCTTACAATTATTATAAATCTATACATACAATTATTGTTGTTACACATATAGTTCTTATGCACTGTTACAAAGAATGATTCACTGGGCGTTTTGTTCTCCCAATTTCATTTTTAAATTCATCTTGCACTCTTTAATTATCTTTCTCACACATAAATTCTTTTTTTTCTCTCTTGCGCACAATTCACTCACACACATATTCTACTGCTCTATAACGCACTATTTGTTAATTCTAATTACAATTTAAAGAGTACAGGCTAAATTATGTTTACTGAGATCATACTAATACATCACAGGGTTACATTGACATTATGTTTTTACTTTTTTTTTTTGCTATTTTTTTTTATTCATTTCCTATAGACAGTCAGCACAAATGTAGTTTGCAACGAAATAGGTGTTACAATTTTTTCTAAGTTTCATCGGTCTCTCGTTCTTTTTTTTCATCACATCCATTTCGTTCCGAAATTCATCAATGTCAAAAAAAAACATAGCCGGTGGTTGATTATGGATATTTTAATAAATTCAACTTTAAAACATCTGTTTGTATAAAAAATATTTATATTTAAAAGTTTTTGCAATTCATTATATAATGTTTGAAATATTGCACATGATATGTTTATCATTGAAGCTTCAACTAAAACAACCCTTCTTTGTCGGCTATATTTTTTTTCGTTCTGCAGTTTGTACGGTCCGCCGTGGGAGACGATCCTGAAAAAATAGCTTGTAACCACCAGTCGTATTTTTGAACTATAATCTCAAAACAAAAATTAAAAAAAAAATATATAAAAAAATTAGCGCAATACAGGGAAACAACTTCAGAATTCTAATAGAAAAAAGAGAAACAATTAAAGACTGTGGGATATACACACACAAGAAATTAAATCAACTATTTATTAAAATCATAAAATGTTGTTACTATTAAAGCACTTGAATTTTATTTCACTAAAAAAATTGTATATTTTATTAAAAGAACAAAAAATAACAATTTGCACAAAACTGCGATTTTCTCTGATTGCGCAAAATTTTTCTTGTAAATCTATAATAAAAAACAGAGGAAAATGTATTTTTTAACGACATTATGGTTCATACATCTTGGCTCACATTCAAACAAAGTCTTTTCTTTCTTCATAAAAAAGAAACAAACAAACAACAAAATATACACGAAAACGGGGGTAGAAGGTATATAATTAATAATTGTACAATTTCATTGTCTAATGTTCTAATTTAATTTACTAGTTATATATATATTCATATTTTTAAGAACAATTTTTACAAATGCTTCCAGAATTTTTTTCCAATGAAGTAACTTCATTAAATTTTATTTAAATAAAAATAAACAATATTTTTTCTTAAATATTTTTCATCAATTTAAAATAAACTTTTTTATTCCGTAAAATTGTCGCTAATTAATCAAATTTAATTTTAATCAATATGGATGACAGAGGCAAGAAAAAGAGTAATTGTACTTCTTTTTCTTATCTCTTACCATTTTTTTTTCTCAACAATTTTATAGGAAAAGGAATTTTCTTGAAACTCATAAACTATATTAAGAATGTAATTTAAAAATTCCAAGGAAACCTATTTTCGCGTCAACTACGAGATTTATAATGTCATTGATGACGCGAAAAACAAATAATATATTTTGTCTCGATGATGATTCAAGGGAAATAACATCGAATACGTCATCGAGACTTGAAAACGAAATTTTTTTAAGGTGACCATCGACCTGATCTCTCCTTCCCCCGTTACCGTATAAATATCTCCTTCGCCTTTTTTAGAAGGCGTCAGCAAATAAAAATAATGATCACTGCTCTCGACCACTTCACAAGGCCTGCAGAAGCGATAAAAATACAATATACTCTTTGCCTTAACTTATTTCAATTACTTGATCTAATCTATGTTCGCACGTTCGTCTCCTCAGCGATGATATACACATTCACTCTTCCTCTCTCTCTCTCTCTGCTTGTACGTTGTCGCTTACTCTTGGCGCGCGTGCTTACAATTTACGAGTCAGATGCATTTGCAATCTGCTTTAAATTTGTGTATTCTTGTTATCATATACAATTCATGTATATATATATATATATATATATATATATATATATATATATATATATATATATATATATATATATTTAATTTTGAAATTTACACTGAAAAAAATATTTTCTTAATTCTGACATACGAGTATGGTTAGAACTGAACATACAGTATTGGTGTTCTTCGTATGGCTGAAACAGCAATATCAGGGTTGCCAAGCTTTTGCTCTTTTCAAATTCCATCACTTTTCCAGCTTTTCCACGATTTTAAAACTTATTGAGAATAATTAATTCTATAGAATTCTTAATTAAAAGTATGAAAAATTCAAATTTTCAAAGATTTTAAGTTATTGAAATTCATTTTTAAATCAATATATATATATATATATATGTTACGGTCAATGTCCGGAATCGGGCAATGTCGACAATGCCCGGGCATTGTCGACATTGCCCAAAATCACTGGGCATTGTCGACAATGCCCATACATTTTCAATAATATTCAGCAAAGTGTGTTAATGCCCGGGCAATGACGACAGTGCCCGGGCATTGTTGACATTGCCCATTCATTTTTGGGCAATGTTGTTTACATTAAGGATTAAATTAATTATACTATTAAAATCAGACTTTTAAAGTATTAAATCATTGGTAAAAATGGCCAGTGACAACGTGAGTGATATTTTTTTGTTAATAGAGCATTAATATTGGGGTTATTTATTAGTTCTAAGTTTTATAATTTATTTTAAAAAATTCAAAACATTACATTTTATTTATAACTAGTCGGTACATTTCGATTAAAATGAATTTAAATTAAATTAAAAAATTAATTATTGACATTGCCCAAACTGGACCGGGCATTGTCGACATTGCCCGAAAAAACTTCATAATATAAATTATTTCGGACATTGACCGAAATTGATGGTCATTGTCGACAATGCCCAGTGGTTGTGGGCAATGTCGATAATGCCCGGGCATTGTCAGACATTGCCCGATTCCGGACATTGACCGTAACATATATATATTAGAAAATTCTACGAGAATTCAATTATTTAACTATAAAAATAAATATTTTATTAAACAATTGAATGTTTCTTAAAATTGAATTTTCATAAAGAATTTTATCAACAAATTTTTAAATAATTGAATTCTCTTGACAAATTTTAATAAAATTTTTAAGAATAATATTGCATTTTTCCATAAATTTGATGAAAATTGTATTAAAAATAAAATTGAAATTCTGCCAAGAATTTTATTAAAAGTTTTGAAAATAATTGAATTTCGGAGAAAAATTAGATTATTTATAAAGATAATTGTAATTTTGACAAGAATTTTTGTAAATTTTTAAACATAATTGAATTTCTGCGAAGAATTTTATTAAAATTATTTTGAAAAAAATTGAATTGTTACGCAAAGAATTTCATTAAAATTTTTGAAAATAATTTTATTCTTTAAAGAAATTTAATTAAAAAATGTATTGAAAATAATAATTAAATTCTAATAAATAAATTGTAGCAAAGGTTATTAAAGTAATTAAATTTCTTTGGTAAATTTTAATAAAATTTTTAAGAATAATAACTTTTTTCGAGGAATTCCATTAAAATTGTATTAAAAATAATTGAAATTCAGCATTGTATTTTATTATTTGTGAAAAGAATTAAATGTTTGTGTAGAATTTTTTTAACATTTTTTTAAACTAATTGAATTCTTTCAGGAATTTTTATTTAAGTTGTAGATATTAAAAATCATTGAATTGAAGAAGAAATTTGTAAAAAATTTGTAAATAATATAATTCCTGAGAAATTTTTATTATTTTTAATTAATCCATTCAAAATTGAAATTTTACAAAATTTCTAATTACAACCTTTTAAAATTGAATTAATTTTGAAATTAGATTTCAAGAATAAACACAATAACTTTAGAAAACAACAATTTTCCTGGATTTCGATGCAGGTTGCGTAGCAACCCTGAATACTGTATGTCTGTACCATATCCACCAATACAATATGCTAGAAAGTAGAATTAGCCATAATTATTGCAGTAACACACGGAGAGAAAAAACAAGGCTTTTCCCTGTGACTTCAATTCATGCCTTTTTCAGGTAGGAGTTTCACCGGATTTCCCGATGAATTTCTTGCGTTTAGCGGTTAGGCCATGCCTTAGCTCGTTGCAAGAATCTCACCGGGAAAACCCGTGAGCGTCCTGCATTTTTACTGTGATAATTTTTTTCACGCGTTAAATGCATATTTTTTCATGGGGAAAAGCCTTGTTTTTTCTCTCCGTGCAGGAATACATTTTTTTTTCAGTGTAGGCCTAGTTTTCACTGCAAGAAAAAAACAGTCTCTATTGTAATGACAATTGGAATTTTTTAATCTAAAAGTTTTCCCCTTCTCTCTTTCTCGCATTTGTTTTAAGAAAATCACACATTTCCTCCCCCTCCTCTCTTCAGTTTTCCCTTTTTTAAAAAGAAATTTTCAAAAGAAAGAGAAATCTATCTGTAACTTTTTGTTTTTAAATGAAATTTGTAGTAAAAGAATATTTCAAAAATGAGGCGTATCCATAAGTTTGTTAAACAAAATGAAAGAGAACAATTAACCTCTCTCTCTCTTTTTCGCTTTGTATAATAGCTTCTCGCTCACTCTAGCTAGAGGATAAATCTACTACGTGAATGGCACAGCCAAAGGACCTTGCGCTTCTGTCCCATCTTGCTTTTGCCTCCTCTTGGCGGAGTCGAAAGTGTGGGCGAGTTGCGCGCGCGCATTTGTTTGTCTCTCCGACGCAGAGGAGATGAAGAGAATTAAAAAAAAATAGTAAAAAAATACAAATAAAACGAACAGAAGAACAAGAGGAGGTGGAACTCAGCGCCGCTTAGCTGCGTATCTGATGGCCCGCGTTGCGTGCAACCTTCTCTGGTGGCTCCACCATACTCTTTGTGGTCCCGTTTATCGTGCGTTTGCGACTCTTCATGAAATCTGAAACAAACATTACATTCATATTTAAAAAAGCGAAAAAAATAAAAGTAACCGGTTTTTTTTTAATAATGTGAGAAAATTAAGACTCAACATAACTTTTAAAATAATGGTTGTCCAGGGTTGCAAGCTTTTGCTCATTTCAAATTCCCCGACTTTTCCAAGTTAAAAAACGGAATTTTTCCAGGTTTTTAAAACTACATTTCTATTTTACAAAATTAAATAATTCCAATAAATTTTTACAAATATATGGTAACTACCATATAATACTGTATTCTGCATTGTAATATTTATCTTTTGTAATTAAATATTTAATTATTATTTTTCGATAGGAATTAAAATTCTTCAAAAGATTCAAATTCAAACCTTTTTGAAATTAAACAACTTCTAAAAAATTGTTATAAAACATGAAGAAATCGATCACTACAAGTCTTCGACTCGGAGCAATCGATATCTTCATGTTTTATAATAATTAAAAATGACCGACTGATAAAATCATTATTTTATATTATAAGAATAATGTTACTGTAACTTATTCAAAATTACTTTCTTCAATTCAATTATTGTTTTCCAGAATTTTTAACTACAATAAATTATTCTTCTTTAAATTAATTATTTTTAATAATTTTTGAAAAATTTCATTGAAAATTTTCAAATCCTTTTGTTTGTAATTCAATTTTACGAAATTTCACCGATTATTTGGAAATTATTTATTTATTTGAAAATAAAATTATTTGGAAATATTATAAAATATATCAGAAAATAAAAACTTGAAATATTTTCAAGAAAGTTCTATTAAACTTTTTCAGAAAAATTAAATCTACACAATTTTCAGTTAAAAATATAAAAAATTCAAACAATTTAATATTTGGAGGGTTTAATTTTCAATTATTATCTAGAATTTTAACTGAAATTCATATTTAAATCAATTTTTATTAGAAAATTTTACGAGAATTCAATTATTTAAATACAAAAATAAATAATTTATTGAAGAACTGAATGTTTTTTAATATTAAACTCTTATTTACAGAATTTTATCAACAAATTTTTAAATAGGTACTTAATTAAAATAATTTTGACGAATTTCAATAAAATTTTTAAGAATAATTTCATTATTCGAGAAATTAGATTAAAATTGTACTAAAAATAATTGAATCTCTGTAAAAAATTTGATTGAATTGAGAAAATTTTTTGAAAATAGTTAAAATTTTGCCAAGAATTATATTAAAATTGTTGAAAACATAATTGAATTTTGGAGAAATTTTTTATTATTTATGAAGATAATTCAAATGTTGACGATAATTTTTTTTAAACTTTTGACCATAATTAAAATTTTGCGAAGATTTTTATTATTTTTGAAAATAATTGAATTCTTGAGACGAATTTTTTAATAATATTTCTTTTAAAATACCTAATTAAATTCTTTTGGAAAATTTTATTAAAATAGTAGATATTGAAAATAATTGAATTGTGATAAATTATTGAAATTAATTAAATTTCTACGTAGAATTTTATGAAAATTATTTTGAAAAAAAATTGAATTGTTAAAAATAATTTCATTAAACTTTTAGAAAATAATTTAATTCTTTTAAGAAATTTAATTAAAAAAGTATTGACAATAATACTTAAATTCTAATAAAATTTTTAAGAATAATTACATTTTCCAAGAAATTTTATTAAAATTTGTATTAAAAATAATTGAAATTCTGTGATGAGTTTTATTAATTATGAAAATAATTGAATTGTAACGAAGAAATTTATAAAGAATTTGTAAATAATATAATTCCTGAGAAATTTTTATTATTTAATTAATTCATTCAAAATTGAAATTTTACAAAATTTCAAATTACAACCTTTTGAAGTTTATCTATTTATGAAAATTGTAAACGCAACTCTTTTAAAATTTAATTAATTTTGAAATATTTAAGAAAAACTAGATTTCAAGAATAAGCACAATAACTATAGAAAACAATAATTTTCCTGAATTCCGATCAAAATTCCCTGACTTTTCCAGGTTTTTAAAATTCTCTGACATTTCCAGGTTGTGTGGCAACCCTTGGTTATCAAGTCAAAGAAAGTTATCAACATTTTGATATCAAAATGCGTATAATTTTCCTAAAATATAAAAAAAAATTAGAATATTTTCTTTTTTCAAGTTTAAAAAATAAAAACCTCGTATCCCATGTAATGCACGATAGTATAAAAAATAAAACCGTTAATTTAACATTGTCGCACTCTTCAAACTAATCAAAGTCTGATTACAAATGGATGAGCCTCTGACTTTTGTGACATCAATTCGCCATCAATATCGTTCTCGAGTTGCATATTCATTTATTTTATCTGCGTCATCGGTCAACGGGAACTTTTTGTTTTTCGTCGACTGTTTTCAAATAAAAATATTGTACTATGTTCCCCTTCACCCTCATCCTAACGATAACGCATTCCTGATAAATTTCAACATCTGTTGTATTTACCTAACCCTTGTGGGCACGTGCGACAAAAAATACAGGGCCCTTGATGAAAGTTCGAGATGTGAATCCCCAAATTCAAATTTTGGGTCCTTTAACTGAAACTCATTCATTTATCAGTCTCACCCCCTTTTCTTTACATGTTTATTAAAGGTTACATGGAAAAATGAATAGATCAATATTCGTCAACTTTCCTACCAAAGAGAATATTACTGAATAAAATTAAAAGGTTATAGAACAAAATATAATAATATTGAAGAAAGAAGAAGAAACTCCACATGATTTGAAAAAGGAAAAAACGTTGATCAGAGACCTAGAATGTGTAACGAAAGACTGGAACGTTTTTTTGGTCTTCCTTGATTCCTATTCATTCCAGAAATCATGATACGGAGTGGTGAGCATATAAATTTAAATTCCCTTATCATTAGACGCATCTTTACAAGGTTGCAGCTAATGCTACCGGCTACACTAAGCTCTGTCAGCAGACGGTACCTTTAACTCCCCCTGATTTTAAATGGCATTGCTATCCGAAATGCACACTATCACCCTAACCTAACGAAGACTCAACTCAGGAACAGCTGATACCCCCATGTTTGTCGGGTCCGTCACGGGGGTGCAAAAGTGCGAGGGCAGCAACCCCATATGGATAGTAACAGCTGACGGTCTTCTCATTAATAAAAGTACGTTACGAAAACGCTACCGACCCCTATCCATCCTAGTTGAGAAAGTTTAGGTACGCGTAATTTACGCTCAAGAGAGGCGACGCGACTGATTTGCTGGCATCATTTTCACCATTCTTCTCTCGCACCCTCTTCAACTCCTCAATAATTTTCGGCACGAGTTTTCCCTTTTTTTCATTTCATATATATTTTCTAATTGATTGAATTTCAAAACTGAAAAGTAACATAATTTTCAAACGATTCGACGTCTAATTAGACAACATTGTGCGTCCCAAACCCCAAAATCACGTTGTGCCGTATATAAATTTCATTTCTGAAACTTTATTCAAAAATTTCAATTATTTCTCTGCTGAACTTTAATGGGCTCTATTATATAGTTCGAATTGTAAATTATATTAGGTTACTCTGTAAGTTTTCATTTCTCTAAAGTTTGAAATGTTCAATGAACAAAATTTTTTTCTGATATTAAATATTTTCAAAAATTACTAGACTGTAATGAAAAATGGGAGGCCAAAATTTTAACATTATCGGAGCACTCTCATCAAGTTACTTGAGACTTAGTATGTAGTATTTTTATTCGTAAAAAGTTTCAGAAAATTAACAGGGTGGTCACAAGTTTTCGTTTATCAATTTCCCTGACAATTTACTGCCATTAAAATTATTTTCCCTGCACGGAGAAAAAGGAATAGTTGACACATCCAGATACATGGATATCACAGCCATATTATATTGAAAAATACGGGATATCCATAGTTAAGGTTGCTGCATCCATATTCTATGGCTGGCTGTAAATTGTTGAAGCAGCAAAAGATCTATGGTTGGGTGATCCATAGTAATGGGAATGGGAAACAAAAAATTGGAATCACTCAATTAATTAAATTCAATGTTTATACTGTTAGAGTAGCAAAAGATCTATGGTTGGGTGATCCATAGTAATGGGAATGGGAAACAAAAAATTGGAATCACTCAATTAATTAAATTCAATGTTACTTGAGATATTTTATACACATTTTTGTTAATTAATACACACCACTTATTGAATAACCGCATATTAACGAAATAAATTATTAACCGATGGGGGGAGACACGAACCCTAGACATGATAATGAATTGCGCGCAACATGTATCGAAATTTTGAACTAACTATGGATCTCCCAACCAAAGTTTACATGGATGAGGCAGCCATATGTGAAAATCCATAGCATGAATTGTAAGCCCAACCATGCCTATGGATGTCACATCCATATTTGATTCAACAATATAATATGGCTCCCTCATCCATTGAATATGGAATGTGCTTCCATTCTGAAAGTTGTCTCTTCCATTGAATTGGATAACACAACAATATTCTGCTCAACAATATTTTTATGGATATCTCTTCCAGACCTTTTCTTTCCGTGTAGGAAAATATGAAAGTTTGCGAAAAATGAGTAAAATTTATGAATTTTAATAATTTCTAAAAATTACAATATTATAACCCTTCCTCAATTCAATTATTTTCTACAATTTTCAACTAAACTTCATCTTTAAATCAATTGTTTTAAATAATTTTTCGAAAACGTTCTTCCAGAATTCAATTATTTAAATACAAAAACTCAATTTTTTATAATAATTGTAACTTATTCCATGTTTTTTTCTCAAGTCATTAATGTATAATATTTTTAAAAAAATATATTAATGAAACTTATAACTAATTTTTTAACTATATTTTAAAATAATCTTTTAAGGATAATAGTTTTTTCAATATACACACAATTGAAAAATTTCCAAAAAATTGAAATTTAGTAAAATCTTTTGAAAATAATTGAATTTTTGAAAAATATAAATAAAAGTAGATAATCACATTTCTGAAAAA